GTCATCGCGCTGGTATCCTAGCAGTAGTAGTAGTAGTAGTAGTAGTAGTAGTTGTAGTAGTACTAGTAGTACTAGTAGTAGTAGTAGTACTAGTAGTACTAGTAGTACTAGTAGTACCAGTAGTACTAGTAGTACTAGTAGTACTAGTAGTAGTAGTAGTAGTAGTAGTAGTAGTAGTAGTAGTAGTACTAACTAGTAGTACTAGTAGTAGAAGTAGTAGCAGTAGTGTAGTAGCAGCAGCAGCAGTAGTTGTTGTAAGTAGTAGTAGTAGTAGTAGTAGTAGTAGTAGTAGTAGGTAGTAGCAGGTAGGAGTAGGTAGTGGTAGGTAGTAGTAGGTAGTAGTAGGTAGTAGTAGGTAGTAGTAGTAGGTGGTGGTAGGAGTAGTAGTAGTCGTCGTAGTAGCCGTAGCAGTAGCAGTAGCAGTAGCAGTAGCAGTAGCAGTAGCAGTAGCAGTAGCATAGCAGTAGTAGTAGTAGTAGTAGTAGTAGTAGTAGCAGCAGTAGTAGTAGCAGCAGCAGCAGCCGCAGTTATAGTGCTATCTTGCTTCTTTAAACAAGTGACCGACTGATTTGACAAATAAATACCAGGTAAACAGCAACAACAACAATAGCAACAACACTTTTAACAGTAGTAATCGTAACAGTAATGAAAAATATCACAAGGAAAAATAATGTTGATGTGTCTTCTTGCTATTGCAATCATTTTTCATTACTAGGTCTGCTTTCAACATTGTTGTGAGTTCTTATTGACCCCAGAAGCTGCCAGTTTCAATAGCCATCCCGCGGCCTCTGGTGCGGCTTGCGCGGGTCGGCATCTTAGAATCCGTCGATGCTGGAAGGCCGTAGATTCCCAGACGTTCTCCGCCGTATCCGACATGGCTATCTGTGAAAGTGGAGCAAGCACAGGAATCACTCCACCGAAAAGCTGTCCCCGTAGACCTTTCTATCTTTCAGGGCTTTCGAAGACGCCCTAAACCACGATTTCTTCCTGTCTTTTCCTGTCCGAGGCTCGGCGTGAAGACTTCCTGGTGGCAGCTGAGCAACCCAAGACCCGCCCGCAAGTGTGTGGGATTGTAGATGCTAAGAAATTCAGCAAACTGATGAGACATGCGACTTCAACTGTTGCTGCTGCTGCTGCTTCCGTCGTTGCTATCATCGTCTTTGTCGTTGCCGTTGCTCTCATTGCGGTCAGCGCTTGTGTGCTATTGCTGTCCTGACCTTGGGTTTGTCATCGTGGCGGTTATGGTTGTGGTCGCGGTTGTCTTTTTTTCTAGTTATTCTAGTGGCTCATCTGTCTTTATTCCCCAAACAGCGTGCTAACACTGTACAGTTCTTGCACAAAGAGTAATGTACAGCTCGCGTGGGAAAGATGCTCCCCGCGTCCTATCCTATCATGTGCAGCAGATGCTGCGGCTCGGTTGTCTCCTGGTGGTCTCTTGGTCTCTTCGGGGTGCGCATTCTAATCCAGGAATCAGCATGTTCGAACGAAGGGAAGCATACTTGCAAGATTGATCCCAAACTCTAGTTTTGAACCATAAACTTGGATACTGCCCCCACTCACTAACAGTTGAATACTATCAATAACGTAGATATATAAGACCCTGAGTAGGAGCCCTCTTATGGACTCTTACTGTATGGGTGCAGTACCCAGCCCTAAACTCCTAAACCGCAGCGGAAAGCATTCTTGGCCAGACTAATGTAGAAGCCCAAATTATTACCAATGTTATAGCTTAGAGTCCCTTATTATCTACTTAATCCTGTCAAGGAGCCCAAAACCCAATTCTAAATATTCAGGCCCCTAAACCCTAAGCCCGTACAGTAGCCCTTATAGAACCCTTTGAGGAACCTTTTAAAAGAACCCCAAAACCCTATTCTAATTCTTTAGGCCCCGTTCATCATGAGTTGCTGGCACTGCTCGGCAGGACCCTCCCTGCAGCTTAGCAGCCCGGCCTTCGGCCGGTGGCTCTGGCTGACATAATGAACATGATGCAACATAATCAAACACAAGAAACCAAAACAGCATACTATGATCTGAGACAAGATGTGACGTGGTAGTTCGTGTTTATAAATGCAATGCAGAGTACCTTCGACGAGTCTCTCGTACTGGATTTATGTGTGACGAGCTGGCAGTCCGGTAGATGTCCATCGCTTCGAGTTAATGAGCTGCCGTGGCACGGCAGACCAAGCATGACAAGGAGGTTGGTTTCAAAGAGAAAGACTTCCCAAGTGTACTGGTGCATGCTTCTGACTTGGTGGCCGCTGACATGGCTTGGGTAATGAGGGCGTGGCCCTCAAGTTAATGACAGAAGTTTGCGACTCCGACAAAGCGGAGCAGACGGCAATTGTCAGCGAGATTCCGAAAAAAGGGCATCCAGTTGCGACGCGCGCTAGCACAGGGGATATCGCAGATGGCCCTGGCCCAATGTAGCATGCCACATGGTATTCTGTGGCACTGGTCTCCAATCTGCCCTGTATTGCATTGACCTTCTCCCAACTTATTCATAATAGGCAACAACGCTTCGGTTCGTCTGGCCCATTCTACAGAGCTCGTTTGCGAATTGTGGCTTAGGAATTTCGAGGTAACGGACAAAAGAGTCATGCCGATACACACCACGAAGCAGAGCAGCATCACTGACATAGGACTGGCTGCAACAAGTAATGGCCATGCTGAATGCTGATGGTATGATGCTTGTCTGTGATTAACACTTAAGTGATCAGCTAAGCTCGGATAGAGGCAGCGACGATTTCGAGATACCGTGATCTTAAGGACAACGGTGGTCAATATTCGGATGTTCACCATGCGTGTCATATTCGCTGTGACCGTCATCGCCATTACCATAATCATCATCATCATCACTCTTATCGCCATCATTATCATCGTTACCATCACCGTTACCACCAGCATCTACTCAGCATGTGCAGCGGCATCAGATAGGCTCTTATAGTGATTATCTCGTGCCACGATCCGTCGCAATCGCGGCGGATACTCCTTAAGCCCTAATTAAGCCCTAAACCGCCTGCGCAGGAGCTTCAAGATGTCGTGGATGCCCGCTTTTTTTGCTTCGATTCGGTCGCGACTCCGGGCCTCGACGGCTTCTGCCTATCCGAAGCTGCAGGGGGAGCAGTGGCTGCGCAGAGAGCAAGGGAGAGGATTAATACATATATATATATATGTACATATACTATAATATATAGTAAGTACTCTAATATAGTTTATTAATGAATATGTGTGTGTATATATATATATATGAATACAAGATAAGATGTGATAGTATAGACTTTTATATACATGTATATGTAGATAGCATAGAGAAGAAGAAGGCAGAAAGAGAGAGACGAGAGACTGACGATGCAGGCGCATGCCCCTAAGCCCTGCGACAGAAAGAGAAAGAGAGAGAGAGAGAGGGAGGCTCAGAGTTGACTGTCTTCACCCGCAGCTTCGGAAGTCTAGCACCGTGCTCAAAGATTCAGCACGCGTGACTACCCCATGCTTGTCGGCTAGGGCGATTTGGGAGACGATCAGCCACATGGAGCCCCCGGAGAGCCGAGAGTAAGATACGACGCGCGACTTGAATTTGAAAGCTACCCTAAACTTCCGCTTCTACAGCAGGAACTCTGCCCGCTTTCCCCTTCGAGAAACCCTAAACCCCAGAACCCTAAACCTTAAATGTGGAGGCGATGGTCCCTAAGCCTTGGCTTGAGCCGATAATGCTTGTGTCGATGAGCCGAAGCCACGGATGTGTGCCGAAATGAAAGGACCATGGACTTTGACCAGCTCAACCCCAAACCCCAAACACTTAATCCCCAATCCCTAACCCCCAAGCCGCCCCAAGCCCCAAACCCCAAACAATAAATTCCAAACCCCTAGTCCGCCCTTGGGAAAGTCAGGGCTCCGAGCAGATCCGGCGAGGCTTGTCGACCTCGAACTTGAGCCTGCAGCTATGAAGCCAGGCTTCTCGTTTCCTGAACATCTCCGAACGTTAAGCTTCACATTTTACTGTGTAGCTTGGTAGAGCATAGTGTAGCATAGCATAGTATACTTTATTGTTGGCTTATCGTAGCTATCGGTAAAAATCTGGAGACGCGAAGATGTCCAGGAAGCCACCGACGCACCAGGAGATCCCTCCCTCAAGGATTCCGTAGACTTGGCGTGCTCCTGCTGGGCCAGGCGATGCCCCCTATTTACAGACATCATGTTATGGGAGGTTGTAACACGGGTTCCTTGGTCCCCTCTGCAGGGTTTTTGACTAAGTAGCCTGCTATCCGATGCCGCGAGCACGAAGAGATAAGACATCTATCAGAAGGTGTTCGCGTGCAACATAAGGCTTGGGCTGTAGGACAGAAGCATAAGTGTGTGATCTAGGGTTGGGTACCGGGTACTGTGTCGATCCTTCTGTGCCGTCGAAACATGTTCACTGCGCATGAAGCATTCAGCAAGTACAAGTAAAGGCCTTGCTGAGCAGTAGCAGGCTGGAAGCACTTTTACGACTGCGGGTTGTGCAGTATGTGGCGCTGCGCCGAGCGTGCAAGACCCCAGTGGTGCCGCCAATTGGTTGCAAGACCGATGCGCATCGATCTTTTCGCTACAAAAAGTAGAATGAAGCTCCCATGATGCGGTGGGGTTGTATCGGATTGTGAAAGAGCCTTGCGAGACCGCTTCGACGGTTTAGCCCAGTGGTCTGATGTATTTACCATTGCTGCCCGAGTGAAGGAATTTGTGGCTCTTTGCAAAGCCGTCGAAAGCTCTTGAACCAACCACTCGGAGATTCCTTGCCGCACTGCAACACCAGTCTCAAGAAGGCCATACTGTAGGGCGTTTGTGCCTGAGGGATTGGCCTGGCCTTGAATATTGCAACTCAGCTTGACGCTTCTGCGCATGCGCTCTACCTGATGGCGCTGAGGGCCGTGCTGCCGGCCACAGGCATGCTCGTGGCTCTAAGCCTTCCCTTGCCTTCACGCGCAGAGAGTGCTTCTAGTCAGTTCTTTCAGGAACAGGAAGACAGCCTCTTCAGGATTCTTCAGCGCAGCCACTCTGCCACAGCGCTGCAGGCAATTTGCAGCTGCAGCTTGCGGCACTTCCTATGCAGCGAAGGCCTGCGAGGAACACCAGCAAATTCTCCTCCATTTCAGGCCCGATGTAAACCACAAAACGAGCAAGCGCACAGAGTCAAGGCGGCAGACGAAGGGAAGGCAAGCCCGATCTCAAACATACTCAAACACTCAGGGCGCCACGGAGGGCCGAAGATCTGCGATCCCGGGCAAGATGGGTCTTGCCCTCGCTGCTCTCCTGCACGGGGACAAGCGCCTGCAGCCTATCCCCGACACTGAAGCCGAAGAAGCTAAACCCCATAAAACCTCAACTCTTTTGAGCAAGCCTTATTAAACCCTAGGCCCTAGCCGGACTTGTAGGGAAAGTCTTCAGGCAAAAAGGCGTTCACACAGAAGCAACCGGAATCAACCGAACATGTACCCGAGGCTGGTCTCGGCTTTTAGCTGCAGGCGCCTGGCTCGGCTCTCACGGAAGGCTCCTTGGATTTGGGCTGCGCGAATCGCGTCACTTCTCTGGGTGGGGTTCAGGCAGAGTCGCAGTGAGGGTGGACAAGACTGAGAGTGCACAGAAGGCTCTCAGCCGACGAAGCCTTGTGAGTGCCTTTCGGCATCGGCATTGAGGTCAGTCGGCAGCGTGGTAAGAGTGCTAGTGGTTCAGAAGGATGTCGCCGATAGTGCCCAAAGCCGAGACCCCGAACCGCCATTCCCAAACTCGAATCTGAAGTAGATTCGCGGTTTCAGGCTTTCGGCCTGCCAGTTGAAGAGGTGCTGGCAGATGTGCTTAAGGTGCGGCACCCACTGCGTTCAAGTTACCGCGCACGCAAAGAGACAGACTTTAGACCTTAGCGGGTCAGCAGCAACGAAGAGAAGCACGACATGAGCCGGGTGGGACTCAACACTGATATTCCAAGCTGTCACCCGAGAGTTCAATCAAGTAACAGTGCCCTGCTGCTGGGATGGCTACGACCATCCTTGATGAAACGATTTTGGATTGTGACCTCAGATCCTGTCGACGAAATCCACGGGACAAGCGTGCTGCGGCTGCCGACATTCTATTTGTTTTTTTTGCAGGTCCCGTGTCCCCGCACGCAGATCGATCGATTGCCCGCAAGAGCAGAGAAACCAATGTCGAGACAGAGATAAGATCACAGAGGAAGTTGCTTGAAGCTGGCAAGCAGGATCGTTTGACATGCTTTTCGTTGGTGGAGCTGCTGAAGAGAGAGCGCCATTGTAGATCCCAAGAGGCAAGACTCGAAATCGTCTTGGGTGATGGTCATACTGTAGATGTAGCAGCACACTGCAAGATGTGCATTCCCGATGCAGGCCTTGAGGGAGGAGCCACATGCTGCTGTGCTTGCCATGGCCCCAGCGCGTCTGATCTCCTCTTTCCAGGTGTACTCGAAGTAATTTACGGCATGTAGTTGAGGCATACACTCTGTAACCTATTATCGTAACCATAATGTTCCATGGTTTTATGTGATCTCGCATGATATACTCTACTACAGGCCATGGGTGCTACCTAGCAAGGCTCGGCCCATTTGGCAACACCGAACGTAGAGCCTCACAGGAACCCAGGCCCGACCCTCGGACCAAAGCTGTGTAAGGCTCATTCCGCGGCTGCTCTGCCCCATGCTGCAGCTGTTTAGAGAATTCAGCAACTCGAACATGGAGCCGAAGTCCAGCCTCGGATCATTGGGCATGACAGCTGAGCTTACAAGACCTTGCTAAAAGCCGGTCTGACAGCTGGATTCCATTCCATCCAGAGTGAGGCGCACACACATAGACATAGACTGAAGGTGTTCTCGAAACCTCTTGTGTATGTCTCATTACTTCAACACTTCTCACGTGCGAAGTCCCGGTGAACCATGTGCCTCTAATCGCCCAGCCGTATTATAGGAGCCCCATAGTACCCTTAAAGGGAAACTGAATATAGAACCCCATGGTACCCTTAAGGGATCTAGTTTCACTAGTGCTTGCATGTGGAGCCTTTGGTTTCTGCCGCTGCTGCGGCTTGGTGCCTGCGTGGAGCCGGTGTGCCAGGTGCCTTGGGGCAGAGTTGAGTTGTTTCGCTTCTTTCTGGAAATTAGGGTTTAGGGTTGTCGTGGATGCCGGGATCTTGCGACTCTGCCAGGCCACATATCCTCCCCGCGAGACGGAGCTTGAAATCCGCAGGTTGCGTGGCCCTCAGGCCTGTTATCGCTTGAAGCCCGCTACACCGACAAGCGCGATGAAGGAAGTTGGGAGTTTCGGAGTCTTGACACTAGTGACTGATTGGCCCAGGCAATACAATGGCACGGAGCGCCTTTACCTTCTCTATGCCACGGGCCTACCGGGACCATGAGGTAAGGATGTGGGCGGTGGGCTGCTCTATTTGCTATGTGACAATGTGTCGGCCTAAGGTACCTTCCGAGGACAACGTGCCTGCGAGATTTTGCACTGCTGTGCTGCCCCGCTTCCTCGTAGTATAGACTATAGACATTGTCAGTGTGCAACCTGCGCGATACAGCGGCAGGTTCTTCTCAGATGATTGCCCATGTTGTTCGTGGAGTGACAACGGCGTGCTTTGATTCGAGATGCCCCGTACCTGAACACCTCTACTGGCAGGAGAAGAAACCCTGGCCCGTGTGGATCCTTTGCCCAGGAACAAGGGTGGACGCCATAAGCCTCGTGACCGCACCTCACTTCTCTGCGTCACTCCTACAAGAAGTCTCAACTCTGCTCTATGACCTCCGTCTTCTACCTGTGATCAAACCACAGATGTGACCCCACAGCCTAGTTGTCGGCTCCCAGGGTTGGGACCGCTGGGCGGGGGGCAAACAGCTTTCGCTTCAATCGGATTCTGCGACGCCAAGGCATGCTGTCGTTGACGGACACCATGAGCCTCTCAGAAGAACTTGAGCCAAAGGAGTGAAGCTTCGCTTTGGTCCCAGTGGAACCGAGGCCTTGCAAAGAAGCATTCCGTGGCGCTCCTTGTTTTGGAAGGCCTTGTCGGAGCCTCAGTTGCTGCTACAGCTCTCTTTCAGACTCCCTTGCAGAGAAGTGAGCTCCTGAGGATCTTGCGCTGAACGTGGTCGCCCACGCCCAGGAAGACCCCTCGCGGCCAGACGACGTCGGCCACCCGTCAGCAGAGGTTGAGAAGATGTGCCAGCCTTTAGCTTCACCCCCACCCATGTCAGGCTACACCCAGGCCGTGTTATCCGACGCGAGGGGAAGCTTCTCGACAGCAGTTACCCTAAACCATGCAGAGGGGTCCGAAGCACAGAGCTTTCGCGCAGCACCGAAATGTCTTCTGCTGGCAGGAGCCTGTATCGACCTGCAGAACATGTACTGCATAGGCACCGGCCCTGAGCACTGCTGTTGCAATCATACTAACAACAACACCAACAATAATAATAATACTAATGCCATCAACTGTACTACTGATAACAGTAAGAGTAACTATAGTGGTGATAATTATCGTAGTAGAAATTCGATGCACTTTTTTCACCTGCGACTGGCAGCCTGCGAAGCCGAAGACCAGCAATCCGCATTCCTTTCTATTGCTACTAGTGCCACTACTGCTACTACTGCTACTACTGCTACTACTGCTACTACTGCTACTACTACTACTACTACTCCTACTACTACCTAGTCTACCTAGTCTACCTACTACTACTACTACTACTACTACTACTACTACTACTACGACCACGGCTGCGACGTCGACTACGACGACTACAACTACGGCTGCTACGACGACTACGACGACGACTACTACCGGTACCATTACCTTCATCATTAATAACCATAGTTGTGGGATTATTTGATGTTTGACTCTCTTTTTGTTTTGATGCAGCTTCGCCGAACCCTAAACCCGAAACCGTCCCTTGGTCCGGGCGGCTTGGATTGGCTTGGCTTCCTTTGCAGGCTCATCACGCGGAGCCCGCTTCTGCTCGCGGCTGGCGTGGGGGGCCTTGGAGACACTTACTGTAGGGTGTTGGGGGGGTGCATGATACTATAATACTGTAATAAGCGTCCATAACAGTCCATAAGGACTAGCATTAATTACTATTATGTCTTTTCACAGTCCATGATTGCTTCATTTTGTGAATGAACAGTAATCAACAGACCGGACAAAGACAGACACACAGAGAGATGTGGAGAAGCACGCCGATCGGATCGGTGTGTGGCCAGTCTCGAGAGTGAATGACTCTTCTTGAGAGCTGTGACCCATTGTCGTGTGCTGACATGTGCACCCCCACCCTTCACCGGGTGTGCTCTCCCACTTCGGGCTGCTTCCTTCCCCTTCCCCATACGAAGCCCGACGCTCGTCCATGCTCTTCGAAGCAACCGAAGACGTGAACGCGAGCGCCGGAAAGGGACCTCAGCCTAAGCGATGTGAGCCGAACTCAACACTCCAAACTCACAAGGCGAAGGCCCTAAACCTCCAACGCCCTCAAGTTCAAATCCCCAAATAAGCAAGACCTTGACAACCCCAAATGCTCAAAGCCCCAAACCCTGCGAGAACCCTCAATACTTTGACACCCTTAAAGAACCCTGTGACACTCCTACAAAATCCCAACAACAAGAGCCCTGTACTAGAACCCTTGAAGGAGCCCATTTTTCTAGAACCCTAAATCCTAAACCCCTAAACTCTAAGCAAGGTCGGAGCTGCAAGGCCTTCGAGGTCTTCTCGTCAACGGGGGCTTGCGCTTTCCAAGGCCCAGCATAGGTTTTTGGGTTCTCCTTGGCGGGAGGTCCGCGTCTCTCTCTCTCTCTCTGTATATTTATTTATTTGTTGTTTCTCTCTCTCTGTATATTTATTTATTTGTTGTTTTGTTGTTTTATTTATTTGTTTGTTTGTTTGTTTTTTTACTCATTCATTAGTCATTTATTTATTTTTTTATGTATGTGTGTATGTATGTATGTATGTAGGTAGGTAGGTAGGTAGGTAGGTAGGTAGGTAGGTAGGTAAATAGGTAGACAGATATGTATGCAAATATGTAGGTATGTATGCATGTAAGTATGTAGTATATAGGTGTGTAGTTATGTTATGTTGGGAGGGAAGGTTTTCGAATTCCGGCTTCAATTCAGCGTTTGAGGTTCAGGAAGACAGGAGTCGACTTGTCAACTATGTCATTGAAAATCGTTGTGGCCAGGCCGAACAATGCCTCGCAGCCGCTGCCAGTTGTCAGCATCCATGTGGGGAGCCCGGAACTCGTAGTACCGCTACTATGAGGGTTACTGTAAGGTTGAAACTGTAAGGGCTACTATAAGGTGTATATATATATACACTATAAGGCTACGATATAGGATTACAGTAAGGGTTCCTTCTTCGCTTCTTTCGCTTCTGCACATCTCCTAGTTAGTACGACTGTGCTGAAGCAACAACAGCCATGGCTGCTGCTGCTGCTGCTCCTGCTACTACTGCTACTACTACTACTACTACTACTACTACTACTACTGCTCCTGCTCCTGCTCCTGCTCCTGCTCCTGCTCCTACTGGACTCCACTTCTGCTCCTACTCCTACTTACTGCAGCTGCTGCTGTACATTAACGCTGCTGTCAGTGACCATTTACGCTTCTACCAGTACAATCAGCTTACTACTCTCGCTGCTATTGCTACTGTTGCTGGCTGTACTTGCTACTGCTGCACGTGCTGCCATTACTCCGCTACGATGGTTATCGGGACGGATAGTCAAGCATGATGATGCCGTTGATTATGATGGTGACTGTGTCATTGCTTCATTGCTGCTCAAGAAGCGGGATGAGTATCCACATTTGTGTAGGTGCATCACTCGGGCCATCGTCCAATCAGTACTGCTACCATTCTCAGTTTTTGGCAGGTTTATTGCCATCCTCATGGCCTCAGCAGCTAAGCGATATTTGCACTTTAAGCTCTGATGTTTTTTTCGTTGTTTGCTTGCCGTGCTGTACGGCAGATCGGACCCAGGACGAGAAGGATTCGGTGAATCCCTTCATCGGGGGAGGTCCCGGCTATTGGGGGGAGCCTGTCCCCTCGGCGGTGCAGGCGCAGCCAGAATTCATGAGTCACACAAAGTCTGTGTGGAGAAGGCGGAAAGATCGATGTACAATCAGGATAGCATCGGATAGCAGGAAACGTGCATACTACGTCCTCTATTTTTGCACTCAAACCCCCGGATCCAAAAGCCTATGCATATGAAGCCGCTAAGCCCTAAACCCTAAACCCTAAGGCCCTAGCCCCAAATCCGAAGATCAGCATTGGATATCGGCGCAGGCCTGGTCCAGCTTCAACGGCTGCAAGGAGAAGACCTTGATGTGCCGATCCCGGCCAAACCTATGGTTTTGGGTCAGGGTACAGGGTCCCCGGTGTGTGTGTGTGTGTGTGTGTGTGTTTTTTTTGTGCAGGAGCATTTTGTAACGATGACGGTGCTGAGGTCTGTAGAACCCATGGATGGCGCTTGGCTGGAGAGGCAGACCGATGCTGCCATGCAAGATGTCGCGTCTCTTGAATGCCGTAGCCGTAGTCACCGCCACGACAGCTTTCCCGAGCCGCTTTCATGCCGCTTCGCTTTGCTGCTTGACGGCCCTGCGATGCCAAATCTTCGGACAATTCATCAGCTATTGCTGACCTGTTCGGCGCAGTTGTGTAACCTACCTGCATGCAACGCCTTCCGGCAGAAGCCATACTAGTAGGATTGGGTCCCTGCTCTCTCAAACACAAACTGACGAGCCATGGTGCGCAAGAGATTGCGGAGCCTCCTGGTTTGCTTCCTCCTCTTCTTCCTCATCATCTGGCTTTCAACTGGGGCCTCAAAGGCCTGGATATCCAGCTCAGTACCGAAGGCCCGGCGGATGGCCCATTTGCAGGAGGAAAGCAGGCCGGGGACCATTTTTGTGTCGATAGCTGCATTTTTGGATCCCGAGCTGCCGGAGACGCTGAAAGCTATGCTGATGCATGCCGAACGGCCCGAGTTGCTGAACGTGGGGATCGTGTGGCAGGGTCTTGAGGACCCTCCCTTGTCAGAGACTGAGCTGTCAGAGCTCCACGAACTTTGGCAGGTTCCTTTGGGAGAAGCTACACATTACGAAAACACTGCACTCGGCATGCTGCTGGACCAGAACATGAGCTTTCCGCACATGCCACGTGGTGATGCAGTGAAGCGGGTTTCATTGGTGGGTGGTCACATCCGGCTACTTGATATCCAGGCAAAAGATGCGAGGGGCTGCCACTGGGCCAGGTACATTGCTCAGCTCTTGTGGGAAGGAGAGGACTTCTACTTGCAGCTGGACAGCCACATGCGTTTCACAAAGCCACTTGTCTTGTTATTTTCAGTTCAGCCGTCTTCGCCTGCGGTATTCGTTGCAACTGAATGTAAGGCATTGGGACACACAAATGCGCGAGCAGCTCGCCCTTTGCTCGAAGAGATCTCCGAAGCCGGTGTTGAGCAACTACGGGCGGCCGTACTCTTTAAGCACACCGGCCAGCTGGACTCCCAGCCCCGATCTCCTCTCGCCGAGTCACATCTGCGCCGGATATTTCGACGCCGATGGCATCCTCCGACACCCCTCGATCCCCCTCCGCTCTAACTGGTCCTTTCCCCGAAAGCACGTCTTTTGGAGTGGCCACTTCTCCTTCTCCTCCTCCAGGGTGCTGTTAGAGGTGCCCTTCGATCCCCAGTTGCCGATGGCCCACTTTCCCGAAGAACCGCTGATAGCCGTGAGGCTCTTCACTCACGGATGGGATGTTTATTCACCCACGCAGGCTGGGTTCCTGTTCGGAATTCAACTTCAGTTACAACAAAAGTACAATAGGGATTCATGGCAAAGAATAGGGTTTACATGGGTTTCCTTATTATGGTAATTTAAATAAGTAAACTGATTCCTTAACGAAACATGCTCAGGGGATCATCTTCCACCTCTGGGAACGGGACTACCGCCGAACCTTCTTCGAGATGAAAGACCTCTATGCAGAGCTCTACCCGGTTAGTCTAAAGCGCGTGGAGCGTCTGCTGTGTTCTGGCCCTGAAGGCCTTATAGCAGCCCTTAGAGTAACCCTTACTCTAACTCTATATAGTAACCTGATATTTTAAACCTTATCGTAACCCTTATGGTATAAACCTTATAGTAACCCTTACAGTATCAACCTTATAGTGACCCTTTTAGTAAAGTGGCCCTTAGAGTAACCCTTGTAGTAAAGTGGCTCCTATAGAGTAACCCTTGTAGTAAAGTGGCCCCAAGAGTAACTCTTATATAGACTACGCCTTATAATCGTAGCCTTACGTCATTGCTCTGGACCTCAAGGCCCTGGTCCTGAGCCGGCCTCCTGCGCCTGGCCCTTGCCTGGTGGCCGAGTCGCTGAAGACGTGGATCCTTTCGGACTCGGGGAAGAGCGGTCTGTTGAGGACCTTGAGAGGCTTGTAGTAAGCCTCATGGTATCAGAAACCCTTAGATAGCAGCCCTGAAAAAAGTAACCTTCATACTCTAGCTGTTTGTTGAGGACTTCGAGCAGCTTGTAGTTAACCTCATACTATTGTAACCCTTAACTAGTAACCCTTGTATTATAGCAAGCTTCATGCCTGTCTGTTGAGGATTTTGAGAGGCTGGCAGACATCAGCTTCAAGGGCCGCAGCATCGGCCTGCGTGGCTACCTGGGTGGCCTCCAAGTGCAAGACTACGTCCTCGCATTGAGACTTCTTCTGCAAAGCTCCATCTTTCGGTCTGCAGTCGTCCCAGTCATGGCACACGGTGCTTTGATGAATTCCTTGAGACATGTAGGGCTTCGTAGGCAGTAGAGTTCTCGAAGACTGAGGATCGAGCCCCAGGACCTTGCTCTCATGCTGCTCCTTCCCATGGTTGGGCTGTGGCTCTTCACCGGAAGATGACTCTGAGTGTCTCCCTGCGCTTTGTACCTCTTCCTCTTCGGCATCCCATGCCCTCCATCGACCTGGATCGTCTGGAGCTTGCGAGATCATGCGAGCGCGAAGCCACCACGGTGTCTATGTGAAGCGGTGAAGTCTGCCGAGTTTCACTCGGATCTACGTCCTTGAAACTTCTTGCAAACACGCTGCCATAACCTGCACGCGGTGAGACGTCCTCTCTTACAATCCTCTCCTGAAAAGACGACAGGGGCCGTCGCCATTGTGAGCTTGCAGTTCGCACATGGGAAGCTTTGGCAGCTGGGCGCGCGAGAGAAGAAAAGGACAACTTGCCCAGTCTTCATGTCTTGCTCGCAGCCGATGGCAACAATCTACTGATGGCTTCAGACTGAGACCGGCCCAGAGAACGGAGCGAAAGAGAACGTCCGAGTGAGACCTAACGGGAATCGCAGCAAGTCGGGTTCAATCTGCATGTAGCGAGACATGCATGTCACGTGCCCCAGGCAATGATTGATCCATGAGCATGTAACTACAAGCTCGGAACGACACTGTTGCATTGCTTCTCGGGCCGGCTGAGATGACGTCCGCGCGCGGGGGCCGAACGCTATGGCTATGGATTGCACTGGTGTGTGTCGTGATGTGGGCCCTGAGCCAAGGCGGTGAGAGCTGGGCAGGTCCGAGCGCGAGCCCAAAGAGCCCAAAGCGGAGCTCCGTCGCGCTTAGGGCCGCGGGCTTCGCGGACACCACGCGCCCGAGCCGCAAGCGTAAGAAGCCGGACCTCGCCCAGCTGGAGGAGGACCATGGGGACAAAGCGGCCCTTGTCTTGAAGATCTTGAAAGGTGCGCCGGCTCCGACTCCGGAGGACATGGTCCGGGCCCGCTACTCTGCCACCCGGCTCAAGGATGCTGTCTTCATGGCGAAGACGGAGAAGGATCCCCTGAAGACGAAGGTCTCCAACAGGGTGAAAGCCTGGGCTCTCTGCTTCGGCACAGAGAAGCCAGATACGTTTGACCAGGAGCCGGGAGATGCCTCCAGGCTCCAGGAAGTGGAGCGTCTTGAGATCCTCGAAGTATCCGACAACGAAGTCGAGTTCAAGCTTCACTGCAAGACTGGTGTCCTGCTTGAACGATCAGTCATGGAGGAGGATGAAAAGTACGGCTGGATCTACTCTGGCGAGTCGAAGAAGGGTGATTGGCTATGAGCTCCTACAGTTTTCTCTGTGCGGCACCAAAGATGCTCGCCGGATTTTCGCATGCTTTCGTGGCCTTTGCCGGAAAAGGAACACTGTTGCAGGCGGTAAATCGCACGGCATCTTGCAGTTTTCTCAGTGTTTGATTTTCGACATGACAGACTCGCCACACAGAACCGATAGTTAAGATGCCGCCCCGATGGTCGCAAAAGTGGTCTTGAACCCACCTGCAGGCACACTTCCTGCGATTCCTTTGCGGAAGTGTGGCTGCTGGTGACCAGCACTGGCAGGCATAAGTACCTGGCTCAACATCACTTCAGTTCGCTACTCCTGTCCTGCCGTGCTGTTGAGATACAATGTCGTGCCGAGCACAAACGCCCAGGTGGCCGGGGAATGTTTTCACAGAACTTGCGTGCGGGACTCGGCCAGATGCCCTTGGGGACCTTGGGGCACTTGTCAGAGCATTCCGGTCAGACTGCAAGGTGGCAAGTTATGCAGCGCCAGCAGATGCTTCGCGAGGGCTCCCAAGACTTTGCAGACTTGGGAGGAAGCTCATAGGGCAGCCCAGAGCTTTCCGACGCCAGCTGACGTAGAAGTTCAGAGAGTGGAGTCATCCCGGCCAGTACGTTCAAGTAGTGTCGTAGTCGACTTTGCCGTCGGCAGTCGTTGCAGCAAAGCCAAGAGAGGACCCGACTGGCCTCAGTGGCCGCTCTACACAGGACATGTGTTGCACTTTCGGCAGCCGGGAGTGTGGGGGATCCAAGATGGATGCGTATGAGGACTTTAACGGAGATGTGGTTCGTTGAAGCATAGCCGTATGCTGCATTAGACTCTGGCGCTCTGACAGGAGTCGCTCATGCACTTCGCCTACCTTTTGTAGGCCTGGCTGCGGGTCTTGTGCGTACGAATTCCCGAGTCTAGCCCCTGAAGGCTTCATAGCAGGCGCTCTGCTCATGGCATGAGCTCTTCGTATGCAAGCAGATCTGCGACGCTTGAGCCTTGATTTTTCGTGTCACCTGCCGGCCACCAGAGCCATGCAGAGAGATGTGCAGGATGTGGGATACGAAGATCCCTTATTGCTGACGTGCTGCATAAGTGCTGCGGCGTGTCGGTCAGACCCGTTTATGTGCCGATACACAAGGCAGGTTGGGAGCTTGGGCTGAGTGCACTGTACTGAACAGGAATGGTCGCTTACACTGTGAGATTGTGCATGGCGGAGCCACCCCACCCCACCCCCACCCCCCACACCGTTCACTATTGGGCTGTATGACTATCGTATGTCCGTTATCCAGAGTGGGGGTCTGTATCGAAAACAGCCATTACAAGTGGGTTGCACCAAGAAGCAGGAGCTTTTTGACTCACAAGGTGAGGAGCCTCTGCGTGGTAATGCCAGGACTCAGACCTCTGATGCCTCCACGGTAAAGCCCATCGAGCTTCAGCAACACACCCGGAGCTGACAGAGGATCGCTAATGTAAGAACGTGGTTGAGAAACCCTGCTCCTATAATGCCAAACTGTCAGGATCCGTACAAAGAGCCCCAACAAGGGCCCAAGGTTTCTGAATCAGGCTCCTATACACTTGCAAGTAGTGGTACATCTTCATTCTGCAGCTGCGCCCATTCCCGCTCTACCGCGACATGGCCTCGGATGCGCAAAGATGCGGGCCGCGAGTGAAGCCCGTGCGTGAGCGCCTGGGACTGCAACTGCTCCAGCTCGAAGGTCTGAAGGCTTTTGCGGCTAGTTGCACTTTACAGAAGGGATGTTCACGGGTCATAAACAGAGGGAGCCAAAGGGGCTTTTGGTAAACTCTGCAGGGTTTTCCCCCGACACGTGAAGGTCGTGCGTGCCGGTCGAAGATGTGGATGTGATCACCGAGACGCTGCTTCGAGCTCGGCCCGTAGTTCTGAGGGGCTACGCGAGCGGATGGAAAGCTCGAAAGTGGGGCTTGGAGCAGGTGGGGGTTTCTTGAGGGTACAGTAGTAGCTTTAGTAGGGTTCTCTCTTTCAGGAGGGCCTACCTCCCATCATCTCTCGGGGCTTTTGTGGATCTCTATTTTGCTCTTGGTCCCTTGTTCCGGAGCTCCCAGGTGGCGGCTGGATCTCCTGATGCGCATGTGGAGCTGCAGGTGAGCCGGGTCGGCCAGACTCAATTCCATGGCTTCGGGGGAACTCTGCAAAGGGAGCCCTTACCAAGGCTGCCGGAGGCAGCTGCTGAGGCCATCCAGGAGAATCGATCGCTGTATTTGGTGCAGTGTCCGCTCTGGGCTCGAGGTGAATGCCCAGCGCGTCACCTGATGAACGACGTGGTCCTGGGGCCCTTCGCAGGCGTGCTGTCCCGGAGGTTGGAGTCTGTGAACCTTTGGATGTCTCTGGGCGAGACCCACTCAAACCTACACTACGACTCCAAGCACGGCCTTCTGGTGCTGCTGCGTGGGAGGAAGCTGGTGGAGTTGTTTCCGCCTGCTGCGGCCAGGACGGTTGGTGCCTACCCGGTCCACGACCCTCTCCGATCTCACCATTCAAGGGCTCCGCACTGTTGCTTGGCAGCGCGCTTTGAAGGATCCTTCTGCGACTGCGAATCCCATGCAGATTCCACTCTGAGAGCTGCACGAGGATTTCAAGCAGACCTTCAAGAGGGAGATGCCCTAATGATTCCGGAAGGATGGTGGCACCACGTGAAGACGCTGGGTCGGGCGAACAGCGAACACACAAATCAATCACACGGTCAGCTCGCCCTAGCTGTGAACATTTGGTGGCGAGGTTATCCAAGAGAGCCCAAGGCTGCACGACCTTATGTCTTGCGGCGCCTTCTTGGCGAGATGCTAGCTCGCAGAACGGCCTCGCATTTCCTCCGGCAGAAGCTCCGCAAGCCAGGTAAGGGCGCGAAGGTCAGCAAAAGCGGCACGAGCTGCCTCAAGAGCAGAAGACCTCAGAGCACCGGCAAAGTGAGCATTTTGGAAGAGCTCTCTTCAGCTGCCCAATCCGAGCCACCACACCGAGAGTGGCTGCTGGCACTGCGCGCCTTTGGACCTGTGCTCCCGCATTGTCTAGCAGTGGCGGCTGCATCCGAAGATGTTCAGCAGCAGGAGACCGCACCAGACCGAGCCTCGTGTCCTTCCTTCTTAGGGCACAGGTTTCCGGTGACTAGTTCAGGCTTGGAGCTACCGAGTAATTCTTAGCCCACTGCAGAGGAGGCGGTGCACCAGCTCCTTGATGGCCTCTCGCCCGCCCAGGCAGCAGCGCAAGCAGGCCGCACTGGTTCACCTCATGACCTAATGCCTTTTAGGCACAACTATCTGTGAGCCCAAGTGTGACAATTCTGAGGATTTTACCCAAATTGGTACCTTACTTCTCCGAGCAAAGACAGAAAGCACATGATGAATGGATGCTGAGCCGTCTCAGGGTCCTGCGCATGGTTCTTGAGCGATGTGAGAAGCTCCACAGAAGTCCGAGGGGCCCAGGGCACCCCGTGTAACGATATGTTACACAGTGAGTATAGTCTGTGTATTACAAATAGATAAACATAATATATATATATATATACATGTATATACACACATACATAATATAGACACATACACACTGTCTCTCTGTATATATATATATATATGTATAAATTTATATATATATATATGTGTACACATATAAGTCTGTGTGTGTACCTACCGGAAATGCAACTGTGCCGTACAGACTGCGCAAAGCTGCACCTTTATTTCTAAAGGTTTAGGAAAGGCAAAGGTCCGGATGATTCAGGGTTTAGGGTTTGGGGTGGCTTGAACTCCCAATTCAAACGCACAAGGAGACCAGAGTCCCAAACCGCAACCGACATGCCCTGAACGATCAACTTTAAGTCCCTAAACCCTAAACCCTAAACCGCAAGGAAAGTGGTAGAATCCTGCACGCACCTGTCTTCCGATTTGAGCGGATGTTTGTCCCTCGCTGCCCAGCCGACAACGGGAGACGTGGTCTTCTTGCCGTCAGGGTTTAGGAAAGTTTACGGTTTTGCTTTAAGGATGATGTTGTCGGTAATGATGACGATGATAGTGGTGGTGTTGGTTTTGGTAGGGCTGACGATGATGCAGGTGAGTTATGCTGACTGCAGGGATGATTGTGGCTCCACATCCGCTTGAATTGACTTATCTTCATTGCTTCTGCTGCTTCTAACCCTAAACCCTAAACCCTAAACCCTAAACCCTAAACCCTAAACCCTAAACCCTAAACCCTAAACCGTGTCTCCCAGCATGGAGCCCAAGCTTCCATCAACCTGCACTTCACACTGAGCCATACTGTTGGATGCCTGTTGCTGTTCCCAGTTCTCGGCTTCACTTCCGGTCCTACGAAGTAAATCACAACTGCATTACCATAGGTGCCCGTGTGGGTTTGGACTAGTCATTACATAATCTCCTTCGTCACAAAGAGCTTTGAGGATTGAGGGCTCCGAGGTACTTACATGGTAGGTACTTTGGGTCCCAGAATGCCTACTATATGGGTACTTAGACCCTTTGGGTATAATAACCCTGATTGTAGCCCAAAGCGTCCAAGTTGTAGTATGGTATATACTTTTGGGGCCCAAATACCTACAAAGTAGCTACCATATTAATACTTGGACCCTTTGGGTAGCATTACCCTAACACACGCGGATCTGTTGGAGTCCACTCCCCGACCGCTGGATGGGTGGCCAAAACTAAGAGAGCCCAGCTTGCTGAGGCAGACGGGGCCAAACCGAGCCCTCCATGGGCTTGGGTTTGCTAGTTTAGGGTTAAGGGTTTAGGGNNGCAGGATAGGGGTTCAGGGTTTAGGGTTTGGGGTTTGGGGTTTAGGGTTTAGGGTTTAGGGTTCGGGGTTTGGGGTTTAGGGTTTAGGGTTTGGGTTTGTTAAGATAGGCACTTGATCATAAAAGCCGAGTCTTTTGCTGGCTTAGTTTGGCTTCTTGTGGGAGCCTTGGCATCTAGACTTGACTAGGGTTTCTTCTTTAGGGTTGTATGGTGCTTTCAACAGGGTGCTTTCATCATTGGAACAGGGTTTCTATTGTAATTAGGGGCCTCAGAGGTTTCTTGTTTGGTTACATCGGGTTTTGAAAGGGGGCCTGGGTCTATGCCAAGCCTAGCCAGGCCCCCCAAAAGTATATACCATACTATAACTTGGACCCTTTGGGTACGACCCCAAACCATAAACCCTAAGCCCTATGTTGCTTCAGTGAGCCGCGTCGTGATGGATGCCGCCGTGCCTCCCACTACTGCAGTTGAAGCCGTAGACCCACTGAAGTGTCTGCAGGATAGGGGTTCAGGGTTTAGGGGTTTAGGGTTTAGGGGTTTAGGGGTTTAGGGTTTAGGGTTTGGGGTTTTTGGGTTTAGGATGTAGGACCAGATGTAGGACCACAAATCTTCGCTTTGCACCCAACATCTTGAGAGATCTATAGGGACTTAGGGTTCAGGATCTATGGGCTCAGGTATATATATATATATATATAGATATGTTTATTTATTTACTTTATGTATGGTTAAGTTATATCTGGCTTAGGAGTTTAAAGCAGCTTCGCGTAATTAGGGTTCAGGGTCAATGTTGGCAGCAACTTGCAGTGGTATTCCTTCCGCCCACAAAGTTTATGGAATGCGGTGAGGGTTAGGCATACACTACATGCATCCTTGGACAGGTGTAGCTAGAATATGTCCGAATTACGATCCCGTCTTCTCTTGTCTTGTTGATAATAGTAGAAGAGTAATTGCAACTGGTACCCTAAACCCGAAACCCTACACACGCAGTTCGAGGCAGGGTCGATTTCAGAGAGTCACACTTTCAAGTAATGAAGGTTGAAGCGTGGTTGTGTTTAACGCTTTGGCTTTGGATGTCGCTTCAGCGTTCTGGGGGTTCGCTTTAGGGTTTATAGGAGTGTAGGATTTAGGGGTTTAAGGGGTTTTGGGTTCAGGATTTATAGGTCTGAGTTCCAGCATCACTTCAGGGTTT